GGTCCGGCCGGAAGGTCTCGGGCCTGGACAGGGACTCGAGCTTGAGTCTGTTCCTTCGTGGCACTAGGATCTCCGGACGGTGCCCGCGTGGGAAGGAGAGGAAGAGGGTCGAGGGAGGTCCTCGCAGCTTAGGGGCGATTGATTATTAGTTGGGGTTTCCCTGAGCCTCCTCCGAACGTCGTTGCCCCTCGTCCCTGGCCCTGCAGTGCCCAGGGCTTCCTGGGGAGTAATTCATCAAATATTTTTGCTGCCTTTTTACAGAACAAATTCACGGCTGTTGTATACTAATTCAAAGTGGTCGCAATCACCTGGGAAGGGCTTTCTTTCCCCGCCCCTTCTCGCCTTCGCCCAAGTTTCCCAAAGGTAACGTGCCCTTTTATGTAGCATATGTACACATACTGGTTCTACTTGTCCTGCCCAAAAATGTGCTACAGTTTCTTGAGTCAATTTAGTAATTTATGTTTTCCTAGAAAATTTGCCCGTTCCTTTTATATTTCCAAATGTGCAGGCACAGAGTTACAAATAGCATTGCCTTATAGTTCTTTGTCTTTGAAGCTGTTCCATACTCTTTTTGCATTCTTGATCTTATCTGCCCCCTCTAGTTTTACTGGTTCACTGGAGGGCTATCAATTTTACTGCCTTTTGAAAGCAGAAATAGTGCTTTGCAATGTGCCTCTGCTGCTTAGCGCTTCCACAGTGTCCCTCACTGAAATGACTGAATACTGTTGCATTCCGTGTCCCCAGCAGAGCAGAGCCGTGTAGCCAAACCTGCAAGTCTTACTTTTCATGGCTTCTATTCCTCGTCTTGCTTAGGGAGGCTTCCTAACCAGGACAAGAACTAGGAGTTCTTAGCACAAGTTCTAACAACTTACAGTTTTGTTTCCCTTTAGAATCAGTTCATCTGGAAATAATATTTATGCACAGGAAAGGACCTATAAAGATGAAAAGCCAAATGTCACAACACCATTTCTGAAAAAACCTTCTATTCACTGGTTTGAAGTGCTAGCTTCAATTATACTGTTATATTTCTCAAAAAAAAAAACCCCACAAAACTATGTGGTCTGGGTATGTTCTTTGGTGGAATCGCATCATTTATTAATGTTAGGGTGTGTTTTGCATTACTTGTATTAATAAATTACCTCCTTTTTTTCTTTTAAAGAGGTGGCGTGGTTCTCATTCAGCTTTAGTACATGCCTGTGTTAACCTAGAATGATTTTGAGAGCATCCTAGTTTTTCCTTCTGAAATATTTAAATCCTTAAAATAATTATCTTTTCACTGAAGGCTTAATAGAACACACCCATGAAACACCGGCCTGATGGACTTTAGAATGATAGATCTTTGATTCCCTTTTGAAATTCACTGGTTGTTCTTACTTTTCTTAATTTTAGGTAATTTATATTTGTGTAGAAAATACTTCATTTTGTTTGACTTTTTGATTTTACTGACACAAAGCTGCAAATTTTCCTCTGTTTTAATTTTTTATCTTCTTTTAATCTCACCTTCTATCTTTCTTTCCATCTCTCACATTATGGTCTTCCCTCCCATTATTCTTGGTGCTTAGATCTAATACTATTTTGATGTGGTTGAATTATATGTTCTACATAATTTCTTTTTTGTGTCTTATTTTATGACAACTAAAAATACTTATTTTATGACAACTAAAAATACTTGGTGATACTCTGTCATAAACAAGGATAAACTTGAGCCATTTGTAGGAAAATGGATACATCGTGAGAGCATGATTTTACATTAAATAAACCAGACACACAAGCTTAAATATTGCATGATTTCTCTTATGGGAAAACCCAAAATATAAATACAGAGCAAAGTAAAAGATAAATAGGAAAAATGGTGGGAGTGGGAAGGAGGGTAGAGGGAAATGCAGCCAGGAGGGAGGGCAGGGAAAGGGGACAGAGAAATTACTAAGCTGAGTTACATACGTGCACCAACTCTTCACGATGAAGTAATTGTTGCATACTGCACACATGCACCAAAAAAACTAGGAAATACTTAGTAAGAATTTTTCCTCCTAGTCACCAAATAAAAAATGTGTTTTTGCATACAACGAACATAAGCACTCTTGCAAACTTATTTGTACATTAATACTTTCTATATCTGTTATGGTTTGTGTCTGTGTGTCTTCCCAAAGCCTCATGTGGTCATGGGGCAGGCTTTTAGAGTTTGATTGATTATGGGTGTGAGAGCTACACCCGCCTTGGGGTGGATAGTTTGCATATGTAAGGGAGAGGAAGAAGCTGCTTGTGTCCATTCCTCCCTTGTGTATGTTTGTTGCTTTTGCTGTGTTCTGCCACCATGAGTTGTAGCCCTCTGCCATGTGCCGCTCTGCCTTGTAACCTGCCAAGTATGGACTAAAACCTCTACAAACTGTAAGCGAAATAAACCTTTCCTTCTTTAATTTTGGGTGCCAAGGAATTTTGTCCCAGCAACGAGAGAAAAGTAACCAAGACAGAATTTGGTACCAGGGGAGTGGGGTCATTGCTGTGACTATACCTGACCATGTGGTTCAAGAGCCTTTGGAAATGGCTTGCAGGGAGTGTTTGGAAAGGTTCGGAGATGTTGACTGAAAGAGAAGTGCTAGAACACCTTCAGCTGTTCTGTCTGGGAGATTCTGGTCAGAGCTCAGAAGACCAGAAGGCTGATAGAAATCCTGCCAGTAAAGACTGGGTTCAGGAGGTTTCTGCTGGGAAGAAGTACTTCAATGGTTGTTGGACTCCAGGTGATGTGTGTTATGGCTT